TGCCTATCAATTGAAGAATGGATAAACAACTGTGGTACATACATACAATGGAATATTATGCTACTTTGGAGAATAACAAGGAAGCTGTAATCCACCACATAACATGGATGAACCTTGAGGACATTAGGCTGAGTGAAATTAGTCAGTCACAAAAGGAGAAACACTGCATAGGACCACTATTGTAAAAGACTAAGAAAAAGAACCCGTACTAAAAGCGAGGGGGAGGGGATTCTTTGCTGTTTACCTGGATGTGGGGAGTGGGGTGAGAGAAGGGAGGGGAAAGTGGAGCAAAGGGTAGGGAATAGACACAGAATAGTTTGGGTGCTGGGGAGTGGGGCAATACACAAGAAGTGGGAGGGAACAATGGAAGAACAAGGTGAATGGGAGAAAAGTAAGGCAGGTTTGCAGGGGCTAAGTGGGACAGAGGTAAATAATGATGTATGCACAACCTTGGAACAACAGGGCTCTGGGATATAGGGATTGAGGCATGGTTTCAATGGGTAAAAGGGGGGAAGTAATGTTAAGATGGTTGGCTGTCTTTTGAATCTTGGTTTTCTTTGCATACCACTGTAAAATAGACACTTGAGGGGGAGGAAAAGGAATAGGCAGAAATATTACCATAGAAAGCTTGTAAGTCCGTCTTCTGCCTATAACTGATTGGAATACTAAAATGGGGCTACAACTTGCCCAGTGAAGGAGGCTTCCTGTGGAGCCTTTGCATTGCATAAGACCATAGGTGGGATCCTGAACTCCATCCAGGATCTTCTGAGGTGGGAAATTTCCACTTGAAAGGACAAGCAGACCAGCCTGGAATGACTAGAAGAGTGGAAGGTACTTCTTGAAAGAAAGACCAACAGGAAAAATAAACAATAGCAGCAGTCTGACTGCCTCCTACAAGAACAAGCATATTGCTCACCCAGGAGCCATCAAGGCAAGTGGTCGGATCTCCTCAGGGTAAACCCCCTTCTAAGACTAAGACTCAAGGGGAATACAAGAGCAGACATTTGCTCTGACTGGTGACCACATTGGTCACCGATAAGGGGAAGTGAGAGAAAAACAGGAATGAAGCTGCAAGCTAAGTCCTACCATGTTCAACAGACTCCTGTGAACCCAGGTGGAGACCTGGTTGGCCAGCAGTATGGCAAGACCTGGGGACTCCTGGGCCCAGAGTTCAGTGACATAGTCATAGAGGACTAGAGTGGAGAGTGAAGCGTCCAGCTGATAAGAAGTGAGGGCATATGTACAAGAACACCCACACTTGTAGATAATACCCACTTGACCTGGCTTCAATAGCTGGATGATCAAAGCTCAACTAGAATTAGAAAGAAGAGGAAAAAGAGTAATCTAATCCAATTTTATGGACTTGACCTATACCTATGGATGCAGTACCTCAAATGAGGGTCCAAATCTTTACAGCAAGGACCATTCCTACCCCCTCAATACACAGGGTAGACAGGGATGGACAACTTGGACATTGGCTACCCAAAATGTGGAGGCTACAAAAGCAAGAAGTGACTGGCTTACAAGCTTTCAAGAGGGAGCCTAGATCCAGAGGGCACGGAGGAAGGTCGACTCTCCACTGTGTAGTATCCAATCTGTCTGGGTGGGGTTGATGAAAGGAGTTGGGGATAGGACTCTTGTGGTACAATAGTGAATAACTGCTATCAGGACTGACTTTGAGGGTTGGAAATGTAAAGGTAGACATTTTGTAGCAAAAAGGAGGGGACCCTACCCAAAGAAACAGTGATGCCAGAGATGGAGGCAGAGACGATGACATGGAGAGATGGAGCAGCTGGGGCTATAGACCCAGAGAGGGAGAGGGGCTGTGTGCTGACGACCAAGGGGCAGGCTTGTGGGTATATCCTTTAGTTGACTGATGATGCATGGAGGGAATTGTAATTATGGCAATGAATTGAAATCCGATAAGATGAATGTAAAGCTAATGTTCTCCCATGTAAACCATCACATAATTCACAATAAAAAAAAATAGTAATGGATTTTTCCACTTATTTTTTTGGAGGAGTCTGTCATATATGGGATAAATTGACAATAGCAACTCAAAAGATTAGATAGGAACATCAGGGGGCAGTGAGTTTGTTACTGGGAGAGGAACAACTCAGAAAAGAAGGGTGAAAATGGTTACTCAACTTGGAGAATGTTATCAGTGTCACTAATTTATACATGTTGAAACTGTTGAATTAGTGTTATGTTTTGGTGTGTATTATCAACAACAAAACAGATTTTTAAAAAATAATTGTTTCTGAGAAATAAACAAAACATACACACCAGTGTAAAAGTCACCATCACAGAGATTCAGCAAAATGGGAAACAGATTTTTGAGCTCAGAAACTGAATATAAAAACATATCTGAAATGTTCACATAAGATAGAGCATGTAATAAGAATATATTTTAAATGATCAAGTGCAAACTAAAAGGAATGAAATAAATTTTAAGAGCTAAAAAGGACAGAATGAGAAAGTCCCAGGAGAGAGAATACAAAGAAAAAGGAAAGGAGTATTTATCAAAAATATAATGGCTCTCATACCCTTTCTAGATTAAAATAAATTGATCTATAGATTGAAGACAATCCTTATCAAAATCCCTGCTAGGCCTCACAGCTGGGGACAAACAAAGGGGAGGCAGACTACATGGATATCCAAGATCTGGAGGGAAACAGGAGCCAGGCTAAGACAACTAAAGACCAATACCCCAAATTAGAGTGGCATGGAAGACATTACAAAAAGCTGTTCTGGAGCAAAGGATGAGGTGTAAAGGTCTAAGGCTTGCTATTCTCTTGCTGTTTCCAAATAACTGTTTTTCTGGACCATGCAATCTTGATATCCATGGCCTCGTGAAAGAAGGGTGAAAATGGTTACTCAACTTGGAGAATGTTATCAGTGTCACTAATTTATACATGTTGAAACTGTTGAATTAGTGTTATGCTTTGGTGTGTACACCCACTCCCACCCTGTGCCCCTTGGGGTCTACTTTCCTGTTAATTCTCTTTTGTGTATGTTCCTTCTCATAGAATTCCACCTCATGCTAAACTTTTCCATAGATCATCCTACCCTGGGGGCAACTGTTCTGAATACTACTCAGAATCCATCCTGTGCATTCCAGAAGTCCCTCCTTTAAAGTGACTGAGACACAATGTAGTCCAATTAAGTTCTTATCCCATAGGCAGGGCACAGTGCACTGGTTTCTCTCTGCTTTGGGGAGGCAGGTGGGCAGTGGTGATCTGGGAAATTCAGGGGACATTCTGGTGGTGGTCTGGGAAAATCAAGGCTCGGGATGATGAATGGTTAGGCAGTTGGTCCAGGTGTCTGGATGGTTGGTCCCTCACAGTCTTGCTTCCTTGTTCACTGTTTGCTTTGAGTGACTTGCAAGTTACTAAATGGCAGGAGACTCTTTTGAGTCCAGTTCAGTCTAGGGCTCAGGTTGGCAGAGGGTACCTACAGACCATGGGTGAGTATGGCTCTCCTTGGACTAGCACCACTCCTCCCTTTCCCCTCTAAATTAGGGAGTGTGACTCTGGGTGTCACAGTAGGTCTTTGAAACTCTTACCCTCTTGGAGACACAGACCTCCCGAATTACCTTCTGCTCTGTCTTGATTTTGGCATTGTAGAAGGAGATGGAGTCAGGACCCTCAGGCAGCACTGTCTGCTGCAGCTGGCTGAATCTGTCCTGGTCATCTTCTCCCTGGGAAAGCCCACACCGACCAATCCCTTCAGTCTGGCATGGTCAGGACTCATCCCCTTGCCGGGTCTGCAAACCCCCACCTAGGTCAGCTCATAATTCTCCTAGCCCCCATATTTACCTGTCCTCACGGTTACCTCACCACTGCCACCTAGGTAGGGCAAGCCATCCTGGAAGGGTAGCAGCAACAAGAGTGATGTTTGCTTTGTCCCCACAGCTTGATACCTGCCTCAGGAGAGGCCTGTACCTGTCCTCCTGCCTGGGCCAGCCCTGGAAGAGGCTGAGGGCACCCCTCATACTTCCATGTTCACAGAGAATGAGGGACACTGCCCACTGCCCTGTGCTCATCCATCACTCCCCTGAAATACTCACCAGAGACACAATCCTGTTGACTGGTACCATGCCAGGTCGGATGCTGCCACATGGCTTCAGTGCCACCTGCATGTCCTCAGGGATGACAAAGGATTCATTGTACCAGATGTCAAATTCTGCAAGGTGAGACAACAGCCCAATGAAGTATACGAGAGCCCCTGAAGAAGCTGCAAATGCTATGTTTGCCTGTCTTGTGCCTGTCCCTGATTCACCCTTATTTAGTTGCAGCCCAGGAGTCTCATCCTGGCACTATCTGTGCCTCCAGTTCTCACAGTCCTGGGAACCACACATTTGAAGTCACTGCCTGTCCCCTGCTCTACCAGACAGAGGCTCCAAAGCTACTTCCAGAAACTAGATTATGGTCCTGCCTCATGCCTCCTTGTATCTTATGTGGTCAGTCAGCCTTCCTGGCTGGTGCACCTGTAAGCAGGCGGTGGCGACACTGATCCACCAGGCGTTGGCAGTATTGGATCTCAGCCCTAAGGTCACGCAGGTTCTGGTACTCGCTGCGGTACTGCTGCTTAAGGTCTTTGAGCTTCAGAATCTGTAGGAATTCTTCCTCATCAATAATCATCAGCCCCTTGTTCTCGTAGTCACCTGAGGGAGGATGGTCAGGGAGTAAAGGGAAAATAGAGGTGTTATTCAGGAAAGACTGGTACCATGCTGGCAAAGCCTGAAAATAGGAATCTAGAGCTGGGCATGGCATGGAGGTGGGCATACCATGAGGGAAGACAAGGCAGCTAGCTATATTAACAAACAAAAATTTATTTTCCCACAGTTTAGAAGGGAAATGTCCTTGTGTCTTTTCAACATCTGTGGGCCAAGTATTTCTTGGAGGTCTCTGTATGTCTTGGTATCAATTTTCCCCTGGGGTGTAGGAGGTTCTCAGCACAGACTCAGGTCTAAAGGATGCACTCTGCTCCTGGCTCTTCTTTCTTGTTGGCACTAAGGACCCTTCTTCTCTGCTTGCTTCTCTTATAAGATAAAAGGTGATACAGTGGAGGGGATTGCAACCATGGCAATGAAACGATATAAGAGAGAATGAATGTAAAACTAATGTTTTCCCATGTAAACGATCATATAATTCACAATAAAACATTAAAAAAAAAAAAAAAGTGATTCAGGCCACATCCCAGGGAGATGCCTCTGACATTGGATTAGGCCTGTGACTTGAATAAGGGTATTACATCTCACCCTAATCCCTTTAAAATGGAATGCCTGATCACAACAGGTCACATCATGGGGTATGATTACATCACCACACAACTTCCAGACCACTGAGAATCATGGCCCAGCCAAGTTGACTTTTTTTTTTTTTTTTCATTTATTGTTAGGTTTAGGGTTAGTGTAAGGGCTACGCATAAGACTTGGTCTAGTTTTTAGGGTTACAGTTAGATTTATTCAATTTTTTTTCTTGAAATCTATTTGATTTCCTCTTTATTTGGAAGTTCTGTAACTACATTATTCCCTCTTTTCATTTTCTGGGGGGTTTTGTTGTTGTTATTGCAACTGTATCTCTGGATCTCTATTTTTAATCTTAACGGCTTATTCTACTTCTATATTTGGGTTGAGTCTAGGTGATATTATAATGTATGTTAGTCTCAGGTTTTTATCTGCTGTTGTTAGTGCTCTATCCAAATAACTCCCTTTAGTATTTTTTGTAAGGATGGTAAGGTTTTTGCAAATTCTTTTAATTTCTGTGTGCCTGAAAATGTCATAATTTTGTCAACATATTTGCTGGATAGTTTGCTGGATATATGATTCTTGGTTGAGAATTTGTTTTTATCAGAGTTTTATGTATGCCATTTCACTGTCTTCTTGCCTATATGATTTGTGATGAGAAATCAGAGTTCAGTCTTACTAGTTCTTGTTTCTAAGTAACTTGTTTTTCCTGAGCTGCTCTCAGGATCCTTTGTCTTTGGTTTTGAAAAGGTTGATTATAATATGTCTTGGTGTTTTTCTTTTTGGGCCTATCCCATTTGGAGTTCATTCAACTTCTTGAGTGGCTAGCTTCTCATCTTTCATGATGTGAGGAAGTTTTCTTCCAACTCGTGGATAATATTCTGAGGTTTGTCTGTTTTTGTCTCTTCCTATTTTGGAATTTCTATCACACATAAGTTATTCCTCTTGATTGTTGTTGTTGTTGTTAAGTGCCATTGAGTCAGCCCTATATATAGTGTTTCCAAGGCTGTAGTTATTTGCAGGAGCAGAAAGCCTCGTCTTTCTCCCAAGGAGCAACTGGTGGGTTCAAACCGCTGCCCTTGTGGTTTGCAGTCCAATGTGTGTCATATGGAGCCGTGTCCCACATAAATCTTATGCTTTCTTTGGTTCTTTTTTCTGATTGTCCCTTTAGCAGATAAATATTGAGAGATATCTCTTCAAGCTCAGTAATTAATTCAGCTTTCTACTGATTCAATTCTATTTCTTTGCCCTTTCAGTGTATTATCTGTTTCTGAAGTCTTAGTGTTAAATCTTCAGGCTTTCTAAATGCTGGTTTTGTATGAGTCTCATTATTTTCAATTATTTTGTCAATTTGCTTCATTAATTTTTTCATAGTTTTATCTATGTTTTTCTTGAATTCATCTGTAGTTTTCTCAGAATTTGCTGAGGTTGCCTAATTAGCATTCTTTTAAAATCCTTATCAGGTAGTTCTGATACCATTTCTGGTATTCTGTTTTCTGACTGTATTTTGGTCACTTGTTTGAAACACTATCTTGTTTCTTTGAGTAAGGTGAAATTGTTTTGTTTTCCCTGAGACATTGTGGTTGTTGTTGTTAAGTGCCGTCAAGTAGGTTCCGACCTATAGCGACCCTGTATAGGGTTTCCGAGAAGTGACTGGTGTGCTTGAATTGCCGACCTTGCAATTCAAACGGCTTTGCAGTCTGATGCATTAACCCATAGTGCCATACCAGGAGCCGAGACATAGCAATGGTGTATTTGTATTTAGTAGATAACTATATATTGGTGTATTATCAGATACTCATCACCTGTGTCCTGGTGGATGTGGTAGAAACTGGAAGTTTGAACACAATTCTTTTTTCGCTGTTTATGTAACGTAGTTCAAGGCAGGTTCACTCACATCCAGAAACAGGGGCACTAAGCCAGGTGCCCGACTCCTGGCAGAGCAGCTGCCATTGGTCACTGGGTTGGTGATCATGGAGATTAGTTACACCCCTGACTACCAGGAGGGTATGCAAGGGAACAAGGGAAAATTTCACCCCCTTGCCGTCAACCTCTAGCTGCGTCCTGTGTCTGCAGGTTGATGTAATTACAGCCACTCATAAAAGCTCAAGATGTCCACATCACATCATGTCAGCCCACAAGCCACATGGTTTCCTTCTCTCTCACTGCTCCTGTTCATTTCCTCTTTTGACACTCATTCCACTTCTCTCTTATTCTCTGATGCTTGGGTTTCTAGGATCACCATCTGTATTTGTTTTACTCAGCCTCCCATATCTTTGCTGCAGAGGGCAATTTCAGCACGTCGGCTTAGGCTGCCATCGTGTCCCTAATCTCTGACATATATTTTTGGGACACACAATTCAATCCATGACACATCCTATGAATCAAAGATATGCATGCTTGCTTTGTTGTTGTTTTTAAATTATATACATGAATTTGCCTCAATGGATAATACTACAAGGCACTTGGGACAAGCATCACCATTAAAAACAGTGGATGTAAATCCAAATTTCAAATCATCTTGATGATTCCAACATTTACCAGCTACCTTCTTGCTAGAAGAGGGAAGTTTCAGTTGAATGATTAGCCATCTCCTCCATTCATGGTCTCTTTGCATGGGCCTTTCTAAGGTTTGGAATTCCTATCACATGTAAGTTGTATTGACAGTATTCTACATAATCTTAGGCTTCCTTCAGATTAAACAAAATTTTTTTCCTGATTGTTCCTCTAGCAGATAATATTGAAGAATTTCTCTTCAAGCTTAGTAATTTGGCTTTCCAGACTGACTGGAAGAGATCCATATTTGTACCCATTCCAAAGAGAGGTGACCGAACAGAATGCAGAAATCATTGGACAATCTCTTTGATATCCCATGCGAGTAAAGTTTTACTAAAGATAACACAGAAACGGCTGCAAGCATACATTGACAGAGAACTTCCAGAGCCGGATTCAGAAGAAGACATGGAATGAGGGATATCATTGCTGATGTCTGATGGATCTTAGTTGAAAGCAGAGAATATCAGAAAGATGTTTGTTTACCTGTGCTTTATTGACTACGTAGAGGCCCTCGACTATGTGGATCATGACAAGCTATAGAAAACATTGCGAAGTATGAGTATTCCAGAACACTTAATTGTGCTCATGAGGAATCTGTACATGGACCAAGAGGCAGTTGTTCAAACACAACATGGAAACACTGAATGGTTTAAAATTAAGAAAGTGTACAACAAGGTTGTATTCTTTCACCATACTTATTCAATCTGTATACTGAACAAATAATCCAAGAAGCTGGGTTATATGAAGAAAAACGTGGCATCAGGATTGGAAGAAGACTCATTAACAACCTGCAATATGCAGATGATACAACCTTCCTTGCTGAAAGTGAAGAGGACTTAAATAATTACTGATGAAGATAAAAGAGCACAGCCTTCTGTATGGATTGCATCTCAGTGTAAAAAAAACAAAAATCCTCACCACTGGACCAATAAACAACATTCTTATCAGCGGGGAAAAGATTGAAGTTGTCAAGGACTTCATTCTTCTTGGATCAACTATCAACATTCACAGAAGCAGCAGTCAAGGAATTAGATGACGTATTGCATTAGGCAAATCTGCTGAACAAGACCTTTTGAAAGTGTTGAAAAAGATGTCAGCTAGAGGACTAAGGTGCACCTGACCCAAGCCATGGTATTTTCAATAACTTCATATGCATGTGAAAGGTGGACAGTAAATAAGGAAGACTGTAGAAGAATTGATGCTTTTGAGTTATGGTGTTGGAGGAGAATACTGAAAGTGCCATGGGCTGCCCATAGAACCAACAGATCTGTGCTGGAAGAAGTGCAGCCAGTGTGCTCCTTGGAGGCCAAGATGGCCAAACTTAAAGTCTCTCATACTTCAGACATATTGTCAGGAGGGACCAGTCGCTGGAGAAGGATCTCATGTTTGGTAAAGTCAGAGAAAAAGAGGAAGCCCCCCAGCGAGATGGATTGGACAAGTGGTAGCATCAATGCACTTAAGTGTGGCAACAATAGCGAGGTTGGCCCAGGATTGGGCAGTGTTTTGTTTTGCTGTGCATAAGGTCAGCACTGACTTGATGGCGCCTAACAACAACAATTCTTTTTCTTTGTCCAGCAGCAAGGGCTGCTAGGTTGAGACAAGATATAGTAAAGTCTGCGGAGCCATTCAACCAGTTATCCAATGACTATAGCACCTTGAAAGCACAGCACAGGTATAACATATATCCCCCCAGGTGTGGGGCTCCCAGTACCTAGGATCCATGGTGAGCAAGTCCTGAGTGTGTGCATGAGGCATCCCCCAGGAGCAGAGGAAAAGGTTAGCATTTACTGATGTTTATAAGGAAAAGTAAGCACATGAAGTGTCACTGATATCCTGAAGGGGTCAGAACCCCCATATGAGATCAGGGGTGTAGAGGTGCCCTCACCAGGTCCCTCACCTTCAACATGAGCAACCTGCTGTGGTCTGTGTTCTCCAGGATGTCCCTGATGCGATGACTTTGATAAGCACAACTCATTCACAGGGAAGGGTATTTACTCTGTGTTCTGATAGGGAGCGACTGGGAACATCTTTTTTACTCCCCAGAGCTTCTCTTACTGTCTACAAGATTAAAACTTAAGATAATTGTATTTCCAGATGATGTTGCAGTTTTCAAAAAACTAATATTCTAAATTTCTTGACCTTTCTAGGCCTACAAGTGGCTGTCAGTCATAAGGTACTTGGCAATTATTTTAAATATGTAAATATGTAATGAAAGGTTGCATGTTCAGGAAACTGGGCATAGGAGACAAATAAGTGCCCAGTGGTCCTGAAAGACCTTCATTGTGTCCTCTCCCTGGAGATTCTAGGTGGAGACCATCACAAACCTTCTGCGGTGTTCTAGATGCTTAGAGGGTCTTGCCATCTGGAATGGTATGCCATAGGTAGTCTGTAGGGTATAAGCAGAGTAGCCCCAATAATTTAGAAAAACTTCCCTCTAAGAAGTAAAAGAATAAAATTGTCCCCCTGTGACTGAGATGATGCATGTGACCTATAAGAATAAATCAAATAGGCTTTGGAGATGCTCCAGTGGATCAGGGAGTATGCTCATGAAAGCTGATCCAGAATGAGGTTGTGATTTATCAAGAGAAGTCCAGTAACCTGTGGTGTGTCAGTCTGGAAAAAGAGAGTGGGACTGAATTGGGAATGTGAACAAGAGTGTGACTTCTGGTTCTGCCTTAGAGTTGGACAGTCATGTATTAAGTGCCAATTCTGTGTCCTGCTACAGATCTCTGAGTCAGAATCACTGGTTGGGGCATAGGAAACTGTGCTTGATTAGCATTCCCCGATGAATCCTCTGCATGCTCAAGCTTGAGGGTCCTTGGTCTATAGCACAAGCATGGGCAGTGCCTGCCACTAGGACAAGGGCAATCAGCTGAAGTTCCTACACAGGGATCTCTGCTTTCCGAACCTGGACCCTATTCCCCCCGCCCCCACACACCCCTATCCTAGGACAGAAGACCTTGCTAGGTCAATGCAGGTGTTGGGGTTCAGTAATAAAGAATCTTCTTAAGACAGTGAGTCCCTTGGCCCTCTGGTATCTACATTCTCATTTCCCTATTTAAGACTCTTGTGGTCCTAAGCAGCATCCCACCCCAATCTGACCCCTATGTGCAGTAAGGAGACCACACCAAGACTCGGACAGAGGTGAGGTTTTGGGACCATGTTGGGGTTGCCAGCCACTCTTCTCCTTGGGAACTCCTCAGCCAGACCAAGGGTCTGTTTCTCCACAAACAGCAGTATCTACCAGGTCCAGCACCTAGGTCTGAGATAATGCAGTAATGGGTGGCCTATAAGGATACGTTAGCTGAAGGAGAGGGACTCCCCATAGCTGGACTAGAGCCATGTGGCTACACCCCACTGTCTGCTGACTCTCTCCCTACCTTGGACCTTCAGTGCTCAAGGCTGCTCCATTTGGAATAACTCTGTCATCCCAGAGATACCTTACCATCCTTCCATCACATTCACCTTGCTTCTCTCGTAGTGACTTCTGGAAATGTAATGCCTCCTTGGTCACGTCAATCTCCCGCTTGATGGTGTTGATACGTTGCGTGGTCTCGCTGGCCCTTTTCCTCCGCTCATTCAAGATGGATTTGTTTTCTTTGAAGATACGGTTGATCTCACTACCTCGCTCATTCTTAAACTCTTCAAAGGCCACAGGCTTGGAGGGTGGTGTGCTGGGCCTAGAGATAGAGGTGGAAACCAGAGGAGAGAGAGAAATGGAGTGGTTGCCTAGGAGTCAAGGAGCATTTCATCTTCTTTCTCTGGGGCATCTGTGGGCAGGAAGTCAGTTGTCCTGGGCACTTCCTTCCCCAGAAGGCAGCTAAATTATTAGCGAATCATTTCCTCATCTTTGTTTACTCAGCACAAAACGGGACATGTCCATTACAGAAAATGATGAAAGCAGGAAGAATGTAGGCAACAGAAAATAAAACAAAACAAAACCCACTCATTATCTATCAGTTTGGTGTATTTCCTTCCAGGAATGCTTCAATACAATTTTAAATTGTTGAGGGCATACAATATATACAATTAAAAAAAATGTTTTATTGTGAATTATGTGATAGTTTACATAGGAGAACATTAGCTTACATTCATCCTATCGTATATCATTTCATTGCCATGATTACAATCCCCTCCATGCATCATCAACCAACCAAAGGGTATACCCTACAAACAAGCCTGCCCCCCAGTCGCCAGGACACAGCCCCTCTCCCTCTCTGGGTCTAAAGTCTCCAGCTGCTCCATCTCTCCACGTCATCATCTCTGCCTCCATCTCTGGCATTACTGCTTCTCTGGGTAGGGTCCCGCTCTCCACTCTTCTCCCTTGATGGTCCCAGGGACCTACGTTCCTAGACTGCAAAGTTAAGCACTCCCCTCCTTGCTACAAAACATCTACCTTTACCTTTCCAACCCTCACAATCAGTCCTGATAACAATTATTCAATATTGTATCACAAGAGACTTGTCTGCATCTCCTTTCATCAGCCCCGCCCAAACAGATTGGATACTACTCAGTGGAGATTCTCCTCCGTGCTCTCTGGATCTAGGCTCCCTCTTGAAAGCTTGTTAGCCAATCACTTCTTGCCTTTGTAGTCACCCCATTTTGGATAGCCAATGTCCAAGTTGCCTATTCCTGTCTACTCTGTGTATGAAGGCGGTGGGAATGATCCTTGCTGTAAAGATTTATTACCTCTTTTGAGCTTCTGCATCCATAGATGTAGGCCAAGTTCATCAAATTGTATCAGATTACTCTTTTTTCCCTCTTCTTTCTTCTTCTAGCTGAGCTCTGATCATCCAGTCATTGAAGTCAGGTCAAGTGGGTATTATCTGTGCATATGCCCTCTCTTATCAGCTGAATGCTTCACTCTCCATTCTAGTCCTCTGTGGCTATGTCACTGACTCTGGGCCCAAGAGTCCCCAGGTCTTGTCACACTGATGGCCAACTAGGTCTCTACCAGGGGTCACAGGAGTCTATTGAACGTTGTAGGTTTAGCTCGCAGCTTCATTGCTGTTTTTCTCTCACTTCCCCTTATTGGTGACGAATGTGCTCACCAATCAGAGCGTGTATTCCCACTGAGTCTTAGTCTTGGAAAGGGGTTTGTTCTGAGGGGACCCGACCACTTGCCTTGATGTCTCCTGGGCAAGCAACTTTCTTGTTCTTGTAGTAATCAGTCGGTCTACCTATATTGTTTTATATTTTTCTGTTGGTCTTTCTTTTAAGAAGTATCTTCTGTTCTAGCCGCTCCAGGTTTGTCAGCCTATCCTTTCAAGAGGAAATTTCCCACCTCTGAAGATTCTGGATGCTGTTCAGGATTCCACCTATAGGCTTATGTAATGCAGAGGCTCCAAAGGGAGCCTCCTTCACTGGGCACGTTGTAGCCCCATTTTAGGTATTCCAATGAGTTATACGCAGAAGATTGACTTACAAGCTTTCTATGGTGATATTTCTGACTAGTCCTTTCTCTCCCCATCCAGTGTCTATTTTATAATGTAATGCAAGGAAAACCAAGATTCAAAAGACAGCCAAGCATCTTAACATTATTTTCCCCCTTATCCCCATTCCAACCATGTCTCAATCCCTGTATCCCAGAGCCCTGTTGTTCCAAGGTTGTGCATACATCATTATTTACCTCTGTCCTACTCAGCTCAATATATATAATTTTTATTCTTGCTTTTTTCACACAAAAATTATGCTGTTAAAAACTCTGGAGTAGACAGGGATGGGCAACTTGGACAAGGGCTACCCAAAAAGGGGGGAGAGGGGGCTACAAAGGCAAGAAGTGACTGGATTACAAGCTTTCAAGAGGGAACCTAGATCCAGAGGGTGCGGAGGAAAGTAGAATCCCCACTGAGTAGTATCCAATCTGTCTGGGTGGGGCTGATGAAAGGAGATGCGGATAGGTCTCTTGTTATACAATATGATATCAGGACTGATTGTGAGGGTTGGAAATGTAAAGGTAGATGTTTTGTAGCAAAAGGAGGGGAGTGGTTGACTTTGCAGTCCAGGGGTGGAGGTCCCTGAGGCCAACAAGGGAGAAGAGCAGCGAGTGGGACCCTACCCAGAGAAGCGGTGATGCCAGAGATGGAGGCAGAGATGATGATGTGGAGAGATGGAGCTGCTGGGGACTTTAGACCCAGAGAGGGAGAGGAGCTGTGTGCTGATGACTGGGACAAAGGCTTGTAGGGTATACCCTTTGGTTTATTGATGATGCAAGGAAGGGGATTTAACCATGGCAATGAAAGGATATATGATAGGATGAATGTAAGCTAATGTTCTCCCATGTAAACTATCACATAATTCACAATAAAATATTTTAAAAAAAACACCCCAAACTCTGACATTGGAAGGACTTCCAGAAAAATGGCAGACACACTACATGAACCAGTCTACAACAAAGATACAAGAGACCAAATGAAACAGACACAGATAAAAATCCTGGAAGCCTAAATTCCAGAGGAAAGATTAGGGAAGTGGATTGTGTGTTTGCTGGGAGAAGAAGCTAAGCAGGGACACTGAGGCCATCTTGCAGTTTTGTGAGGAGCTCTGATGACAGAAGGTGGCCTGGCAAGCAGATTCATACAGTCGACAGGAAAGGTGCAATTCCTTCCTTTTCCCCATACTCCCCTGATAACTAGAAATGTGGCCAACTTCCAACCTCATCCACCTCCAGTGAAGATCCTGTTCTCTGGGCGTTTGGAGCTACATGGTTGTGAGCCACACCAGTGTCAGGCATGGGCTGGCTACACTACTTTAGTGCCTGGATTCAGGTAGGCTTGGCTCCAGGTCTAAAGAACCCCCAGAGCCACCAGACCAGGTAGTAGAAACCCTCATAGCCAGCCGCCCTACCTCCAACTGCTCTGTGATCCTAATGGACACTAAAACCATCTCCATCCAGGGCCTCCTCAAACAATTTCCAGACTGAGTGCCCTAAACATTGATAACATCAAGGCCTATAGGACTCCATCTAGGGCCAGGAACTCTGCTGTCACATCTCTCCTGCATCCACCTCATAAGATCCTTGGCTAGCAAGAACCCCCCAGTTTTTTCTCCAGCTGCAATATTTTTCTGTTTTGATTTTATGCTTTTGTTGTTTCATTGTTTTTGTTTATTTATTCTTCTTACCTTTCCATCCCTTTAATTTTATTCATTCTATTTCTGCTTTCTTCTCCTTCTCATTTCCCTATTTTCCCCCCCTTTGATCTTTACTATTCTCTTATTATTTTCATCTTTCCCCTCCCTTGTTTTTTTTTTTTTTTTAATTTAAGGTTTTTACTGTGGATTGAGTGAAAGTTTACAGGGCATATCATCAGTTTTACACCTTGTTTCATAACAATGATTATAATCCCCTCCATGTACCATCAGTTCACAGTATTTCTATCCACTTTAGTTTTTCAAAAAACAAACAAACAAACAACAACAACAAAAACCACTCAGGCACAGATAATAATTTACATCTCCAAAGGGCACAATCTGCAAGTCTGCTCCTGGCCACCAGCTCTTAGTCCCTCTCTTCGTAGTCCATGAATCTAGAGTCCTTAACCTCTCCCCCTCTCCATGCCCCTATCTCTGCCTCCATCTCTGGTGCTGCTGCTTCTCTGGATAAGGTCCCGCATTCTGCTTGTGCTTTACTCTCTTGTTGGTCCTAGGGTCCTCTGTTTCTGGACTGTAAAATTAACCACTCCCCTTTTTTTGTTACAAAACTTCTACCTTTACAATTGTGACAGTCACAATTAGTCATGATAACAACTATTCATTATTGAATCTTACGAATGTTATCCCCATCTCTTTTCACCAGACCCATCTAGACAAGATGACAGCTATTCAGTGGGGACTCTTTCTTTCCCCCCATACTCTCAAACTAAACTCCTTCTTGAAACCTTGTAAGCCAGTCACTTCATGCCTTTATTGCCCCCACATTTTAGGTAGACAGTATCTAAGCTGCCCGTCCCTATCTACCCTGT